AGTACTGCACTAGGGTAAAGAAAACTGATTTCACTAAGAACAAAACTTCTCAGAGGGTTTTTCAAGTTTGCTGCTCCCAAGGCTACATATCATTTTGTCATGAAGCACATCCGATGCTCCAATACTGGGCAGGATAAATCTGCTTCTTTGGACAAGAATCTAATCAATGGGCTCACAAGGTCCACCCAAATTTCAGCATAACAAGCAAGGCCAATAAAATGAGATCTGTGACTGTCAGTCAGGATGACAAAAAGAGCATCAGCTGCTATTCCAAATTACAGGCTGAAGCAGTACACCCCACCATTCTGCCTATTAGGTATGATTACTAAATAAATCTTACTTCCCTTCTTGCCAAATTTATAGAGATCAAGTGACGAGCGCTCTAGGTAAAAAGCTAAACTTAGCCAAATTGCATTGAGAAGTCAAATCCTTACTCCAGTTATGTGGTTTATTTTTGTTGTTTTTTTTCAGATTGTTCTTTGCTATACATAGTTTAACTAACTTTTTAAGGGACATCATTTTTACACACAGCTACAACTTTCACTGGAAGCTGTTATTAGATTTCACATTTACAGTTAGTGCCAGGGACATGGAGAATCAAGGTAGAGATGAGCCTATCAATTTTCTTCAACAAATTCTGTATTCTTTTTCTTATTTTCCCTCCACTCCCTGTTTCTTTACTGTCTTTCTATAAAACATTTATTTTATAGAAAATAATTGCCATTGCAATAGGATTATAATCTTCTCTTTTATATTATGTCTGTATCAGAGTTATCTTCCTCCCTTCCTCCCTGTAATCTATTTGTGATAGAAAGTGCAAGGCAAGCTTCTGAGACACAGTACAAATGCATCTTGACTTGAAAACAGTTAGTGCCTCTCAATGGAGATGATTACAAGCTTTAAGATATATTTCAGTTCAACTCAGCTACCATTATAAAAGCTTTGAGTTCTCTTGAAAACAGAACAAACACACTGACTAATATTTGCTAAGAATTTGGTAAATAATGCAAATCTAGATGGAGAAGTCAAAGATGCAAGCTATTTGAATACTGTGTATTAGTAAAATACTGTTACTGTAAACCAAAAAGTTTAAAGTGTATAGTATCCATACTGTACATCTTCCTCCACCTAAATCTGCTATAGCAGCACTAATCACTGGCCTGATTCTGCAGCACGCAGAGCGCCTCTCTCAAAGTGCTGAGCTGGAATTTTTTGCAATTATCTGAAACCTCATCTGGAACTTGCTCAAAGAACAAAACTGTGTGGAAAGCATATCTAAATTTTTTAAATGACAAAGAAAAACCTTTATTATATACATAGATTATGTGTATCGACCATTACATTGTTATTACATAACTGTGTAAAAACCCATCTGATAGTTAGCTCCTAACTTGACTCCATGTAATTTAACTGACCCTTATTTGCTAAGATACTGTGTGAGCCAAGGTTTGGAAGAGAGCCAAGAAAAAAAGGGGGGAAGAGAGAGAGACAGAGAGAGACACAGAGAGAGAGAGAGAGAGAGATCAGATTAAACTGTGGATCTGCGGTTGGCATAAATTTAGCAAGCAGTGCAGAACATATGGAATGCAGAATCTTGTGCTATTTCTTTGCAACACTAGTACTAAATTTATGACAAATGCCTGGACCAAACAAACTACAACATCTTTTCCAGTTCTTAAAGATATAATCTGACAAAGAAATTAAATTAGAAAAACAGCGTTCCACTATTAAACAGCAGTTTATAACTTAGATAACAGGAAGCAGTCTTGCCATTGGAGTTTACTAGTCATATTTCAATTGAAGATGAAAGTTAGTATTAGCAAGATAGAAAAAAAATCCTATGGCCTTAAATCCACAGTTCTGTCTACCCTAATCACATGCATTTTTGTATAGATTACAAACAAATAAAGTTAATAAAATCCAGAATATCTTGAGGAAGCAGATAAGATACTAATTGCTATTAATAAAACGCATTACTTTGACTAAATACAAACATTTGCCTGCTCATCATTCTCAGTGCATCGCTTGTGAGGCCTGCGCCGCCAAGGGCCGCCGTCAAGGCACGGTTCTCCCTCGCACCTCCCCTAACCTCCATCAGCGCGTGCCCACACGTTGCTCAGCAAGTAGCCAAGGAGCTGCCCTTTCACTGCGAGCAAGCCACTCGTAGCTAAGCTGGCTCTAAAGAAAGACACTCTTCATAATCGCCCAACAATCTGCTAAGTGAAAACATATGGGCAGGCTTAGGTAAAGCCTGCCAGGGGTCTTTGCTGAATGGAAAACAGGTGCTCCAGTTTTGTGCCATGTAATACCCCATTTACTGTTAAGTCCAAAGGTTACAGGACTAATAGCTGCCTTGTGGTGATCAGGGAAAGCAAAGACACTAGCCATCGTCAAACATCTGGGACATATTTTACATACTTGCAACATATGCTTCAGTTTCAATTAAAGTGAGGCTTTGGCACATTTATTAATCTTTTTACTTTTATCGCATAAGAAGACCCATTGACCTGACTTTTCTACTATACCATATGAGAAAACAGAGAAATAATAAAAGCCAGAGGTCACGACCAGCTGGTGTTACAAGACCTGCATTTCTTTCCTCACAAAGCTTCATTTTGCACGCTTTAGAAATACAGACGGATGAGCTAAACCAATACGAAACCGCACTCTTCCTAGTTCGTCTCACGGATATAAAAAGAACAGCAGTGGTTAACAGAGTGTCCCAAAAGAGGGCAAACTCAAAGAAAACAAATCCCATCCCAAAAGCATTCTAACAACAACAAAAAGCAGTGCTAACTATACACACAGGTTTTATAACTTAGCCCCAGAAACTCCTAAATGTACATGGTACTATCTTATTAAAAAAAAAAAAAAAAAAAGCTATTTTCCATTCAAAATGATTTTTTTTCCCTTTAGTAGCACATTAAGTTATGAAAACTCAAAAATTCAAATTGCATTAATGAAGATAGCATTAAACTTATAAAAATCAATCTAAACAATTTCACATAGATAGCTAGCTCAAGGATTCAAGGAAAAGAGTCACTCAGTACACACGGTAATGCTAAGTACTCACTTTCATTCAACCTTGCTAACTGTCTAGAAAAGTGTTAGAAAGCTAGCATCAATTTCATAAAGCTAAATATTAAATCAGAACACTACAACCTAGAGTGGTGTTTCTAATTAGGTATGTTTTACCAGGCCTCTATTCATGGGAATAGAATAAGGATTTTTTTTCTCCCCAAAGTCCATTTTTCCTTTTTGTGGAGTTTGTTTGGCAATTTCCAAAGACAACTAAGTGGTAACTAAGTAGGCTGGCGTAAAGCATGAGCAGTGAAGTGCTGCTTGTGAACTAATCATAGTTATTAAAATTTCCAGGAATGCACAAACTGTTGGGATAATACTCCTGCACTAGCTCTAATAATAAAGCAGGAACAAGCAAGAGAAAATGGCCACAAACGGATGGCAGATCAGTGTTTATCAGAAGAGAAATGATGATTCAAAGCCAGCATGTCGAGCTAAAATACAAGCTCTCCACTGCTACATGACTGACCTTTGCAATAAATCATATATTTTATTGCCAGAAGTGTAAGCTCATATCATTTAGTGTTAAAAACCATCACGTATGTGTTTGGGAAAAGGAGGTTTTGTTACTACAATGTTTGCTGATTCTAAAATGATGTAGCTAACGATTTAAGTGATGTATAGAAGAATTTCACATAATATCTTTCTGTCACTTGTAAAATGTTTGAACTGGTAATAGAATGAAGAAAATACTCATTTTTTTTTTATCATCTCTCAAATCTTAGGTGTTAGCTAACTGAAAAATAATCATTCGGGGATTAACTAATCAGAGTGAATTTTCTGACATTTCAAATGTGGCTGCCAGCATATGAATTCTTGCAGTGGTATATAACTGTACATCTCAACTAGAAACAAAGGTCAAGGGCATAAATTAAGATACACTGTTTTTCTCCTCTCAAAAAAAAAAAAAAAATCATTGCTTTACTACGACGGGAGTGGGGAAGCATCCGTGAAGGTCAAAAGCATCCGTGTTTTAATTCAGAGTTCTTGTCAAATTATTATCTTTTTTTTTCCTCCTCCTCTCTTTCACAAATATCATCTTACTTGTCTGAAAACACCAGGAACAACAGGGGTACCTTTGCTATACTTGTCTCACCAGAAAGCTGTCCTGCTAGCCATTGCTTCACTGGTGCAAGGTCATTTTAATTTCTTCTTTCTGGTCCTTTGCCTCTCCCTGGGGAACAACCAATCCAAGGAGTCCCATAGCTTGGCTCAATACGATGTGGGAAACGAGCTGTTATTTACTGTGGCTGCAATCCTCAACCCAACCAGCAGCCTCCAAACAGAACCACATTTTCTCCAATAGCTGCATGATCTGCAATAGTTTCCCGGCTTGCTGGGCCACGATGCCAACTCCAAATCAAGTGGATGTCTATGAGAATTGTGATTATTTAAATGTCATATGGAGTGCAAAACATTTCAGCCATTCCTCTGCCAAGTAATTCTTTGAAAATTATAGACGTCAATATCCCATCTTTAACCAGTATGGAGTTGCTATTTTTACACCACTCTTCCCCTAAAGTGCAGTCCTATTTGTAATACTCGAGACAGGACAAATTTTTGTCCTTCAAAAACAGTTGTCACTGCAGTTATCTTCACAAGAGCTATCAAGTTCCAGACAAGCTGAATTATTTTTGTTCCTGGCAGGAAAAAAAAAAAAAAAATTGACCCAGCTCTGGACCAAGGAAAAAAAAAAAAAAAAAAAGAAAGAAAGGAAAGAAAGAAAGGAAAAAAGCAGCAAGGATTTATAGACCTCTATCCTTTCCTGCAACACACAGTAACATTGTTAGGATGATAAACAGCTCTGTCCAATTTTCTGGACTAAAACACTTCAACTCCTTTTTTAACTGTCTGTAAAAACAGTGTCATGTCTAAATTCTCCCATCCCCAGGTACCCAAGTGCTAGGAAAGATAATTACCTTGTCATCTCTGTCATCCTCTTCTTCCTCGTCCTCTAGCATGTCCTCCACTACCTGCAGACAGAAACAGTAGTAGTTGTCATGATTTAAAAAGGAAGAGTTTTGTTCTGTCAATTGTAAGCCTTTTGTAGATGAAAACTTTATTAACATTTGAAATAAATGCACAGAAGGAAAACGTACAACTAGAAGAAACACTTGATCTCCAGAATCAAATGTAGGCAAGTGTTATAGCGTTAATTGACCTACATTAGGGAATTATATACGGAAAATCTTGCCTGTAAAAAATGCTTGCTTGACAATTTAAGTATATAAAAGGTAGCTCAAAATTCAATGTGTGATAGATTTAACTAAAGGAAGCTTTTATCAGCTCCACCAGTGCGTATACTGTACACACAAATGCTTGCTTTAAATTTACTGATATCTAGAGAAACATGCAACAATTTAGACAGAATTGCCAACATTCACCATGAGATTTTTGAAGAATTCAGTGCTAAGGATAAATTCACACTAGCTTGTCTCTTTACGATCTGCAACAGTGATATATACCGTATGCTCCATTAGCATTAGCACTATGTTTCTTAATAGTGGTTTTATACAACCTGTGCATGTAATTTTCTGCACATTCGTGGCTAACTGTAGTTACCACACATGTGTATCAAGGCATTTTTTTTCCCACGTAAACAAATCCATTTCAGTCTAGAAATGAAATTTTTAGTTTAGAAATACATTCATATACACACAATTCGTCTTACAAATAATGTTAAATCCCAGGCCGAGCATGGAATGAACCGCTGTTAAACCTACTTTACAGAGGGAGGAAATGACTTTCAAAAGATGGTCAGTGGCAGATCCAGACTTAAAACTCATAAATTTCTTTCATAACACTGTGATCAAGCTGGCAGCCTACCCTATGGGGAAACTTCCCTATTAATGAAATAGAAATAAAGTTGTACCTCTTTATACTAGGTAAGATTGTGGTTCTCTCTATCACTATTTGTTATTAAAATATGAGAACATCCATAATGAATCTGAACAAAGATCCACCTAGTCCAGAGTTCTCTGGATGCTTAGCAAAAAATGTATATCACATATTATAAAATATATATAAAAAGTCAAGAAAAGGATAAAGGCAGTGATGCAACTCATTTTTTGACTTATCTTACAGTGCATTTCCATCAATTCAAATCATACTTACTTTCTTAATATAAAGTTAGAAATCATCTTTCAGTATCATCTGAGTGTACCTTGTCAACACAGTCAAATTCTAACTTTGTAATTTCTCCCCACGCAGAGCTGCACAGATATTCCCATCAAGTTCAAATCCACGTGCCAGGGCTTTAATGCTATCCCAGGGCCAAATTCAGAGTTAAGAAAAAAATCCAAAATACTGATGTTGAATTTGTATTCAGGGAATGGCAGGGCTGGACAACCATCAAGAAGATCCCAGTTAGGCCTGCCACATGAGCATGTAAGCAGACAACCCTAACCATGTATGTCAAGACTCGATTTAGCATACAAGCAGGTCACCCTGCGTATGTGTAAATCAAACGCACAGCACAAAACAAGTCCAATACCTGGTTTCAGACACTCCTCCTTTTTAAATTCTGTCCTAATACACTTCTAATAGGAACTAAAGGGCTTTGGAGAGCAAGGAGCCTCCACTCCCTCTATTTGCTGCTCTGTTCTGGAGCTTAGAGTCAAAGAAACACAGTAAAGAGAGAGCACATTCTGTATTCAGCGCAAGAAAAAAGCAGGACCCAAGCAATTAATGAAAATAATCGTGAACTTATTCCTACAAAACAGAACAATTTCAGCAGGAGTTTGACCAAACCTTCTGCAACCTAGAACGGGCTCTGATCAGACAATGGTCTTCACAGAAAGGACACAGGCGTGAGTCTCCTTAGGTGGCATGTGGATTCAAACCTGTGCTCTAGCCCAAAACGGCTGATAAAGGAAGAAAAAGCCGCCTCCCTCACCAGTTCCTTCAAGAAAGAGCACCAGTGAGAATGAGCAGAGCACGCAGCACTGTGACAAGCGGCTCGCACCCCTTAGCAGCGAGAGAGAAAAGCTGAGAGCATCCTGTTGAAATTCTCATGAGCTGGCTTTGTAGATCTCCTTACTAGCTCAGCAGGCCTTTCCGTGTATTCCTCTGGAGCTTTACAAGGATGTGGTTTCACGTACTTTTCTAAGGAAAGAAAGTTTTGCCTTTGCCATGTGCCTGCTTCAGCTGCCTGTTCCTGTCCCCTCACTGCAGCTCCCTGTCTTCTTCATTATGCTCTTCCAGGTGCTCGTGGAGCACAGCTACAAACTACAACCCTGGAACAATCAGTCTTTGTTGTTGTTGTTGTTTTAAATCTACCTTAAGATTTTTAATTTGGATCACTTCAGTGACCCCGTGTACAGAACAGCTCCAGAAACACCTGCCTCAGCTCTACTGAAGAAATGGCGAACCGCAAAGAGAGGATGAAAACAACCTGTTAAGGGCTGCAAAAAGATGCAAAGCTTTTAAAGGAGTTTTGCCACACACACGCACCCCCCCACACACACACCTCTAATTACATCATTTGGTGACTAAAGCACAAGGTATAAACCTGAATGTGTTGACTCAGACACTGCCTACGCCTGGAGCTAACTAAACTCAACACGTCTCTAACTTTTCAACATTAATATTCCCCAGACATTTAAAGATCTCTTCTATGTACATCCAGAAATTCCCAGTCTTGACAGGCTTGAGCAACAGACTGCTTATCTTACATTAGCGCTAAAGTTAGCACAGAGACAATTAGATGAATTGGAAACCTCTAAAAACTGTTGCAAATGATAGCACCTCACCGAAGTCACTTACAACACCCGATCTAAACGATCTGGATAATAATACTTCTGACTCACATTTCTTTTCCTCATCTAATGATTCCTAACTACTTTACAAGCTTTTACAGAGTGGCAAAACGTTAACTTGTTCAAAGGAAGCAAGAAGTCCTTTGGAGTCCCTTGAAGCCAAGGACTTGGGGAGTCCCTTGAAGCCAAATTTTCAACTTCTCCAGGCCATTTTTTAATTCAGAAGCCACTACCATTCCACATACTTGTTCTGAGTTAGTCATATCATCAATCTCATTAAGCTTTACAGTATAAAACCGTCTGAAGGAGAAATCACAATTCAATTACTGCAGCAAAACAACATGTAGAAGAAGTATTCCCATGTCCAAAATGTTTAACCTGTTCTTTAGAGTGTATGAAATATAGTCCATGCTTTCACTCAACTTGAAATTCAAAATTGAAAGTTAAAATACACACATAGATTGATGAGACACTAATGATACCATAAAAAAATTATTTAAACCACCAAGACTAAGCTTCTTGAGGGCTTTGTAACACAAGTTGAAGCAAGAAAAATAGGCGTTTTATAAACATACCCTCTAAGAAGAGCCGGTATGCTGAAGCCACCCAAGTTCAATCCGTGTTTACAGAAGAACAAAGCAAAGGTTTACAACACAGGTACTGCGAAACTGAGCAATGCACTTGAGTTTAGCATTGCACCTGGAATACTGTGGCAACAAAAACTCTCAGTGGATTTGTTTTTTGTCTGGTTTGTTCTCTGGCTATTGAAATAAACAACACGGATGCCAGTTTGGTTTGAAGCAAACATGGACAGTGCAGTTACAATGTTGATATGGAGATCGGAATATCTTTTCAATGGAGGAGGGAGGAAGAAAGGGAGGGAAGGAAGCAGGGAGGCGGGAGAGAGGGAGAGAATAGGAAAAAGCACATGAAGATAAAATGAAACATTAGAGTTATTTTATTAAAAGTTCTATGGCAAAAATCTTAGATTGCCTCTGGAATACTCACTCTAAATTATGCCTTCCAATACATTGCTTGAAATCAAGTAGTATTAATCAAACAAAGGAAGGGCACTGGGGAAATCAGAAAGATCTAATGCAAGCAGTTAAAAGTGACATGACCTTCTGTAATGTCACTTGTCACAGACTTATATGCCGCACACTAGTAGAAGGTCTTGAAACAGCCTGATTCTTGGTGCTGCTCCTCGAATGTAATACTAATACAGATGACATTTCAAAAAACACACGTAGACTGTCTCAAATATGGCACGTCAGCTACTTCATGGCCAAACAAGAAGCAGATGATGCTCAAATGTTGCAAAATAACATCCTCTCTGTGCAAAATAGCCCTATTAAGACCCAACTAAGCAGAGCCAGCCTACACACTAATTTGTATAGACTGCCATCGTTCTTGACCCATCTCCACTTTCTTGAGGTAAAAGAACTTTGTCTATAAATAGTGTATATTCATACCCATTCCAGATGCAATTGCTCTGTAGCAGCATCAGCTATGTTTAGTGATGGTAAAGCAGGTTGCCAGAAGCGGCATTACCATCATCTCTGCATGATGGAGAAAAGCCAAATATCAGTGCACCACAGTGCACTCCTGCTAATAAAATTGACTATTAATTGGGAATTGATTTTAAAATACTTCCTTGATCTAAACTTTCCACATAAAACCCAAGACATTGGCACTTAACAGCATTTTTAATGAAAGAACCTTTTCCCTTACTGACTATCCACCTGCTATTTCTCAGAGAGAGTGTGCAATCACCAATTCACTTCATGAACTGTCTCCTGTTACAGTTTCTTTGGCTTCTCCAGAAAATGCTGCTCAGAAGGTACTTTGGGGTCTTTATATGTTAACCCTTCCAGGTTTCTGTTGGGCTCCAACAGGCAAAACAAATAATAATTAAAAAAAAGGGGGAAGGAGCACTACCACACTGTTGGTAATGATTTGCCTAATGATGGTTACCTTAGCACTTTTTATTTTTAATATTTTTATTAATGGCTCAGTTTTGTAACGTGAGAAACAAAATCCCCTACTCTTAGTTCTCCGCCAGATTTGCTTATATTTTGCCAAATTTAGTCCTTGAAAAATATATAGTTTTAAATGAAAAACAAAAAAGAAAATATTTTCTATGCTCTCACATATCACAGTTTCAAACTCTGTATTTAGATTTTCACATTAAGATTTTAACATCCAGAAGCTCTAGT